TGACAACGAGTCGTGGTGTACGGGGGGCACGGAGGCGCTGTGCTCGAGTGCAGTTTATTAAAAATTCACTCCTTAAATTATGCATTCCACGCGCGGGTACTTAATATATATATATATACATGCACATACAGGTGTACGGACACCCACGCTCTCGCGTATACGTGCACAATGTATATATACGTACTCTCGTCATCGACGGCCCGGGTCTTTTTCTCTGTGGCTCGTGTTCGCTTTACAAGGCCCTGTTAACTTTTACGATGCTTATCGAGTGAACAGCCGTACACACGGTGTTTCTCAAAATCCGAGGGTCTTGCGTTAAGCAGAGGAGGAGGAGGAGAACAAGAGTTATAAGTGTATACATGTATGTTGGTAAGGGGGGCGGAGGGGGAAATCGATCGAAAGCGCTGAAAACCGGGGATACATTATTATGCATATCATCATCGCCGCCGCTCTTGCACCCGCGTCCTGTCGTTTAACGTTTTATGCTTTAAACGCTTGGTCGGCACATGTACAAGGAGCTCGCGATTTTTGCGCGGAAAAATGTTTCACCCAACGTGTCCATCGACGAACACATGTTTATTTAAAAATTTTATAATTAGCCCCCCTCCCTCCCCTGCCCTTAAGTAACGGTGTACAAACAACGGCAGCTCTCCCGCGGGGATACCTAATATCCCCGCAAAATTATGGTAACTCTATATACGCGTATGTTGTACGCGCGAGGAGAAAAGTATCGATAATTGGGTCAGTCTTCCATAATCGCCCGCCATTACAGCACATGTTGTGCGCTCGGACACCGGAGAACCAAAGTATCGTTTTTTTTTTTTTTTTTATGTCTTTGGTGGGCGCAGGGGGACGGGGTTGCGTTTGGGAGATGAAAAAATTAGCGCGTACTCGATTTGAGCAAAGAAAACATGCAACGTGGGAGCACGTAGAGACACGCAGGTGTATATATGACTGTCGGCAATATATCCATGACAGCATATATACATCAGATGGGAGATTGAAAGTGTTGGATCTCCCATTGAAGCGTGTCCTCTTGAAAAACATCTTTCTCCGCGTTACATAGTGTTTATTCGTCCGAGAAGAATTAAGAGTATAGAGTTTTGGAGCTGCCGGTCGATGCGTTTTCTCCAACGCGGTCCCTCGCGCTCCATTTACCAATTACGTCGCCCGAGCCGATCGATCGCCTTTTCCGATCGCGTGGCGCGCACCACTACCGCCGCCACATCCTTAGTCTCTCCCTCGCTAATGATCCGATCGTGAATCGCGAATGTTTGTACGCGCGTGTATAGATATATACCTACCTGCATCGTCATATCGGACGCACACCGCCGTGTGTGTATATAATAGCGGCCAACCTGCGCCGGCGTCCGCAGTTTTTTTTTTTTTTTTTCTTCTTATTCATTCATTTCGATCTCCTTTTTTTGGTCATCATCGCTAGCGCTCGACTAATTAGGCCGATGTCTTTTTTAACGAGTATACCCACTGCTGCGTGTATGCGTATATGTATGTGTATATATATATATATATACACGTCCATCCGCGGCTCGTTACTTTTATATCGATACTCAACTTTTCGTTTGGCTAAATTGCTTATTTTTCTACTCCTACCGCGAGCGGGACTTTTGCTCGATTTTCTCTGTATTGCGCTTCCTCTTTTTTTTTTTTTTTTTTTTCCTACTGCACCAGCACTTTCATCGCTCGATATAACATGACGTTACGCAACCACCAACGGAGAGACCAACGACCCGCCGAGTGCAATTGAGTAGGCGAGCGAGCGATCCACTTGGCGTAAAATTTACGTATATACTAATTGACGAGCTGCCGCTGTTGAGAGAAGAAAGGGGAGAAAAGAACCGCACACGTTGCCGCGCAAACTGCAGACACACGCGCGAAGAATACAAGAGGGAGAGACAGTTCCGTTGCACAATGCATGCGCGGCCATAGGCGTTCAATCCACCGATAAATCGCGGGGCCGATCCATCGATCTTTCCCCCCCCCTTCTTCCTATGTACCGAGAGATATCCTCATAGCCGATCGCTATGGGGAGGAATCCCGCGCGCGCGCGTGTGTTTTCCGCTTTTTCAGCATCGATCAAGGAAAAGCCGCCGCTGCAGTCCACGGCTCGCGATGGCATGAATTTTCACGGCTGCACGGAGATGCGCCAGCAGAGATATACCGCTCGCGTCTCTTTTTTTTTTTTTTTTTTTTTTTTTTTTGTCCCCTATACCGAGGGCTCGACGATTGCGGCTCGTCCGAGAATTTTTATTGGTGAATCGCTTATACAAGCAATCGAGAATCCATATAGCGTGTGTGAAAAAATCGAGGCCTGTCGTCGAAATTAATTTTTTCCTCTTATCCCGCTCGTCGTGAAAATTACAACGATCGCTGTATTGCGCGTGTGTATACTGTGCCATTTCCGCGAGAGCGTATTTATCACTCGGTAACCCAGCCCGAGATATTCATAATTTCGCGTGAAAAAAACAAAACCAAACAAAGCCCCCCCCCTCCTACATGTATATCAAACTATTTATCCCATCTGGGTTTGGATTTTCGCGCCGCGGTGCGATAGTTCCACCGACGCGTAATATCCGCGGTGTTGAAAATGGATCGATGCTGCGGGCGCGCATTGGGAGAAATTCAATCTTTCGCGGCGAAATGCGTGCCGATTTGTTTGTTTTTTTTTTTTTTTTCTTCAACTCGCGCCTTTAATCCGATCCAGCTATACGTAGCGCTTGCACTGCGCACACGTACATACATATGCATACACGCATGGACGGGGAGAGACCGCAATTTCCGCCCATAAAGCATCGTTTCCTCGGCTGTACGTTACACGGCTGCCGCAGGGGTAGAGTTTTCTCCCTCTATCTAATAAGCCGCTCTCGAGAGCGGGTCATTAACTGCTCCAATGATCTCGTAATGCCGACCACCTATACCTGTTGTACGTGCAGCGCGGGCTACTCGAGCCAGTAGCCGGTACATATATAGGAAATTGCAATGTATATCTCCCTCTTCTCGAGCGGGGGGCACGTAAACTCTCCGACACGTGCCTACTCCCACGTACGTATATGTGTACAATGTACATATATATATATATATTATATACACACGTAGTGTACGTGGATTATAAATTATTGGACACGCGCGGCGCACGGGAGCGGACAGCGCGTAAGTAGGCAGGTGTGTGGTATGTATATGTATACGTATGAACCGGTGGTTTGCGTGCTGGTTTTCATTGTTCGGGTGGATTTTTCCGCGGCCCGAGATTTCGGACAGGTTTCGTGATTTTGCGCGCTCCCGTTACTCATACCGCCGGGCCGGCCATTGTTTTCGTCGTACAATATAATGCGAGAGGAACGAGATCCCGCGGGGAGGATATATTTCATCGGACTTGTCGTCGGGCGCGTGAAAAATCACAAATTTATTTACCACCGGAGGAGGTGGAGCCACGGGGATAACTGTGAAACCTTTTTTTTTTTTTTTTCCTCTTCAAAAATCAGTTTCACCCAAAGTGACTGATTGATAACGATTACGAAAACACCTCATTATAATGGTATAGGTACACGGGTGTCCGTATGCACGCAGGAAACGAAAGGTACATGGCATTTTTCCCGGAGCCGTGGTACATTTTTCCAAGCGCGCACCAGTTTCCTTTCCCAACGCCGGTGCCTGTGATAGTGTGTGCCTCCCTCCCCCTCCGACACCCTGGAAACGGGATATAATATATCGACGTCCCGCTGCAGGGGGAAAAAAAAAAACGTCGCAAAGGACTGTGGTCCGCCATCTAATCTTGATGGTAATTCTCGAGTTTGCAAATTCCCCGTACCGCAGCGCGCGGGCCCAACGTGTGCAACGGAGAAACAAGCGGATACTCGTAATGTCCCTCTTTTTTTTTTTTTTTTTCCTAACGCCTGTAAAATAAATGAATTATTAAAAGGTTTTGTTGGCGGCTAATTATATATATACGCGCGTGCGAACGAAACGACACCTATAAATAACGTGTCGCCCCGCCGCGGGATCGATTAATTATTATTTAGGAATCATATTACACCGAACCGTGATTTATAACAATGCCGCTTCGTGTGTGTATAATAAAACGCGCTCGCCGCGTTGAATATTGTTATTATCGTGGCGGTCGTCGTGTTGGTTGTACCTATGACGCGCGTGCACACTTTACCGGGACCAATTACAGGCACCATTGAAATTAATAACTAGAAATACCAATCGGGCAACCGGCGTGTCGGTGGTTGGTAATACATTGATTTTCTCGCGAAACAAAGGTCGGGCTCCCCGAACGCGCAGCCTTATTTTTTTTTTTTTTACAACTCGCGTGTGTCTCTTGTTCGTGGACGGAGACGCGAGGGTAATTTAATTCATTAAAAGCACGCGACTCTGCTCTCTGTGCCCATAAAAGTCCAAAACGAGAAGGAGGTATATTGCACGGGTTGCGACTCCTTCGGCGAAAAAAGCCCTCGCGCCGATCTTCGAACGCCCACTCGGCGCGAAAAAAATTCCTCGAGCGCGCGCTCGCGTATCCATCAAAATGCGCCTCTCGTCATCGACCGGTGCCTCCTGCCGAGCGCGCCCCTTCGCCTGAATTATGGCGCTTTTTCGCGCGCGCCCGGATTTACAATCGTATACCTTTTTTCCCCTCCTCTCTCTCTCTCTCGCTCTCGGATGAAAAGGCTCATTACTTCATCGTTAAACCGAACGAGTTCAGAGTAGGATGTCGCATCGGTTTTTATGGTCAATGTCTAGTGCACCTTCCCTTTTTTTCCCTTCTTTGATAATTTGCTTTATAGTATAGATATTACGGTATAATACATTTTTTTTTCATGTTGCTCATCTACAACATATTTGCTACTTGATGAAGAAAAAAAAATATATATATACATATATATATAAATAAATAAATAAATAAATAAACAAACATCATCACGTACTCGCGATGCTCGATCTTCCTTTATTTCCCGAGTCGCCGTGGGTGGGTCGAACCTCGCGTGACAGAAACTCCCCCTGCGCTCGCCTCGCCTCTTTTATTTCGATTATCCACAAAGTTTTTGCTCGACCGCGCGACGACGACGACGACCACTCAATGACAAATCGGCAAGCGTTTCCAAAGTTTTACCTCCTCCTCGATGCGATCAATCTCGTAAGACTTTTATCGATTTCTCACGTTGTGGTATATTTTAGTTTGACGATAATACCGCAGTGGTCCGATTGAGGTTATATTTATACTCTAGACAACAAAATTACACACATAAACAACGAAATGAAAATATATAAATATAGAATGAAACAATCCAATGAGTATGTACGATGAGGTGATTAACGAGGGATTCGTCCTGTCTGTTTTCCGTGATTCCAGGAGGACGCAGTCGGCGGCAGTACGGTGGTAGCCGAGGCGGACAGAGTCGCGTCAGGCGGCGCCATAGGGGGCCCAAGCGGCGGGTGCCGCGCTACCTCGATGACGATGGCCGAGAGCGCCGTGGAGGACGCCGCCGCAGCGCCGCCCGGCCCGGCGAAGCCACCCCCGCCCTCGTGCACCAACAACAACACCCTCGCCGCCACGGCCAACCGCAACCACCATTACCAGCACCACTACAACCACCACAATCACCACCACCACCACCACCACCGGAGCATCTCGTCATCGTCGTCGGCCCTGCAGCCCCGCAAGCGCAAGTGCCTCTCCCAGGTCCTCGACATCCTGCAGCACCGAGGAGGCTCGCCCAGCAACGACGGGCCCAACGCCAAGTACCCCAATAACAACGGGGCGAGGCCCAACTCGAGCAGCAGTGGCTCGAGGTACGACCTCGGGGCCACGAGTTTGCCCTCCGAGGGCGAGGAGGAGGACGTCTTCGAGTCGCCGAGATCATCGTCCAGGTCGGAAATTCTCGAGAGTCCTGTCCAAAAGGCCAAGGAAAACGGGCCTCCCTCGGCGAGGAGAAAGTCCAAATCGCCCAGCGAGTCGGCCGAGGAAAAATCAGACGGCAAACAAAACACCACCACCACCACCACCACCACCACCACTGGTAGTATAAGCCATCATCACGGACCACCACCGGCCCTGTACGCGGGCTGTGGTTGCGTCCACTGCTCGAGCTCGCCGATGATGCTCTCGTCGCCTACCTCGCCCCTCACGCCCCTAAGCTTCGCCCCCGCGTCGCCCTCCTCGTTCAGCTTCGAGCACTACCTGCACACCAAGTACCTGCCCAGTCTGGCTCACCACCACCGAGGCCGCAGCCACTCGGAGCCCGACGAGCCCACCTCGAAGCACCACCACCACCGCACCACCAGCGCCCAGCACCTCGCGGCGCGTAGCGGCTCCCTCGAGTCCAACAACTCGACGAGCAGCAGCGGCAGCCCCCAGCAGGACTCGCCGCTCGACTTGTCCATGAAGGGCCTGCTTGCCTCCCTCAAGCCCCCGGCGCTCCAACTGCTGCCACCGGGCCTGATGAGCCGCGGCTCGGTTAGCGTGCCTGTAGTCAGGGGCGACGTGGCCTCGCCCACGACCAAGGAGAGCGTCGCCTCGCGATACAACCTCGAGGTGTCGCCGGTAGTCGAGGAGATGCCACCCGGCACGGACGTGGCGTTCGTTTGTCCCGTGTGCGGTCAGATGTTCAGCCTGCACGACCGGCTCGCCAAGCACATGGCCTCGCGCCACCGGCGCCAAGGGCCCCAGGACTCCTCGGCCAAGGCTTACCTGTGCGACGTGTGCAATCGCAGCTTCGCCAGGTCGGACATGTTAACGAGGCACATGCGCCTACACACGGGCGTCAAGCCGTACACGTGCCGGGTCTGTGGCCAAGTGTTCAGCCGGTCGGACCACTTGAGCACCCACCAGCGCACCCACACCGGGGAAAAGCCGTACAAGTGTCCCCAGTGCGTTTACGCCGCCTGCCGGAGGGACATGATCACCAGGCACATGCGCACCCACTCTAGGTACCCCGACAACGCCAAGCACGAGCAAACGAAAGGGGGTGGGACTGGGAGCACCGGGAGCAGCAGCAGCAGCAACCTGTCCGCGGAGCTGATGCCCGAGAGCCCAAAGTTCGGGGCCAACGGGCTGCAGTTGTCGCCGGCCATCAAGACCGAATGACGCTTACCCGCGGGCTGATACCGACCACCGGCCGTGGCTCGTTGTGTTTTCTCGTTCGCGCGCGTATCACTTGTACACCCGAACAAACGCCCGCCGAGCGCAGAGCGCTGATCAGTATTACCGTATATGCTGTCTCCATCGGCGCGATCGCCCTTTGTGTGGGTCCTTGCGATCGCGGGGGAGGAAGGGCGTCCCGGGTGGTTTTGCCCCTCCGGTCGTTACTATTTACCGGGAAAAACAATGATGAGACTTCAATTACACGTACGTGTGTGTGTCTCTGTGCTCGTTTGCGTGTCTCTCTGTCGCGCTGTTTCAGGATACTACTTACCGATTATCGTTATTGGTGGACGTACTTTTGGCACCTTTAGTCGATTCTTTTTGAATTTTTTACCGTTTGTACGACGCTTAAGATGTGCATTGGAGGTGAAAAATCGACTCGAAAGTGTTACTAAATACGTAATCGTTGAATCAGAGGTTGTTTTCAGCCTTTTTCTTTTCAACGAGGGTTGGGCTCTTTGTGAAACAAACGAAAAATTTGAGCAAACTGTATACGCGTGAAGGCATTCCCGTTCAAGTTTGTGTCGATTGTTGTGTTTGAAATTGATTCGACAAAATTGTAATTCGAGCGATCGTTGTATTGAAAAAAAAGGAAAAATTTTTTTGTTTAAAATGAAAAGAAAAACAAACATGTTTCCCCGCGTCGTTTGCCTTCCACGTATAGCGATGTCGTCCCTCCTGATGATTGCCCTGCGGGTGTCTCGCGAAAGTATATCCACGTATACTTGTATGATGTGCCAAATTTTCAAGGTCAGTGTTGAAGGAAGAAAAAATTACTCTAACCATTGGTCTGATTTGTAAATGCTGCTCTCTATCAGAGATTAAAAATTTATTTGTTTGCCCAAGTATTTGGTCGAGCAAACAAATGATGCCAATACTGAAAAAAAAAAAAAAAATCGAACGGTAGCTTTGATAATATCGTTGATTCGTTAACTATATTTATTATTAATGTATAAGTGATATTTTTTTTTCTCATTGTGAAAAACAAAAAAAAAAAACACAAAAAAAAAACAAACAAAAATCTTTATATAAAAAAAAGTTGATTTTTGTACGAAACTACATTTATTGCGAGATGAAAAAGAAAATATATACATGTACCTGCGTATAAAGAACAAAATGTTTGTGTTGATTGTAAAGTTATTTTCGATGCGGCGCAGTTGGATGGAAAAACAAAAAAAAAAAATTATTGTTTTCGATTGATCGAGCGTTTGTTAAAAATAAACGAGTGTTACTTTTTTTCGTAATGGCATGGTTGTAAATTAGGCTATCGTTGCTCTGTTATTGACATATTAAAGAGCCGCGGAGGACGCGTGAAATTTTTTGCCGTCAAAGGTTACCTATTTATTAAACGACGAAATGATTAGAAATAATTTGCAAAAAAAAATTTCACAAAAAAAAAAAAATTATAATGCATTCGTTAGGTTTTTTATGGTCAGGCGGGCCATGACCATAATTATGTGAGCGTTAACAGATGAAGAAAGCTAATAGAGTAAAAAAAAAAAAAAAACACTCGAAAAAAGCGTCCATAGGACGATAAAGATACTCATTGCGAGAAAAGCAAAGCAGAAAAAATTTCTGAAAGAAATGTAAAAAAACACTACTCAATTTTTTTTTTCCCGCCCACACGTCTGAAAACTGTGAGCTCGAACTGTATCCCACCTCCCCGTCGTGGCTATTGCATGTTTCATGTTAACGAATGGAAAGAAAAAATTAAACGGAAGTTGAACTGAAATAATGAAAAAGGAAAAAAAAACAAAAAAAAAAAAAAAAACGGATAAACTAAAAAGTTGTGCTCAACGAAGTAACTATATATACTTAGTCTCCGCGAGAGAAGAAGCACGAGAACTGTGAGAGGCCACGCGCGTTACTGGTTATCTCCCAGCTCCCTCGCCCGCGTTTTTTTGGCGCTATTTCTCTCTGTATATTTTTGTACAGACATGTTTTTCTATTGCCGTACCTCTTTTAAATCACTTAAAGTGTTTAAGGGACAAACACAGATTTACGTAATATACACTTAACGGGCGCGTGTACTACCGAGTGATAGATTTTTAAGGACAAAACTCGAGAAGGAAAAGCCTGGGAGATGCGAGCTTGTTTTCACTTGCCGAGTAATGTACTTATTGACGCTGGCTCTCCCTCCGGCTTTGTCTTTTTCTTTGTAAAATATTATGTGTAAGAAAAAACAAGCTTTCCACTTTACTTGCCCCCCCCCCCATACCTCACCCTCCGTGTCTATACTTTGTACTTTGATATATAGTCCGCTGTACGAGGGTTGTTGAAAAAATTAAAGTTATGTTAGCGAGGCGCTGTATGTATAAATTGCGTTGAGTTTGATTTTGTTGGCGAGTAAAAAGTATATTATTAATGCGCCGAGTGCCGGAGAGGATACTTTGAACCGATACTTGTTTGAACTTTTTTTATTTTTATTTATTNTTGTTTGACTACAGTTTGGGTCCTCACGATACGTGTGACTATCTCATTAATTTGAAGTTAGAATCTCCAATTTGCGGTAAGCCATGTGGCGCTAAGAAAAAGCAACGAGTCAGTTTACCATCAGTTTACTTTTTTTTACACAAGTTGAAACAATCAGTTAGCGCTTGTTGGGAAAAAAAAGAAAAATCATGACTCACAAAACTCCTCGTTGATCCCACTTAACGTCAAATATCGTCAGGTAAATAAGCTAAAAAGGTAATTAGTCACTATACGGACACGCGGGTGGAATACAATCATCCGAGCGACAAAAAAAAGCATAATTTATGCTTACTCTCCGAATCGGGAAGATCAGCTCAAGAGTGCGGGGCTTACGTATAGAAAAAGAGAGAGAGTAGTTACGTTATTAATCAATGTTTAATGCTTCTATTATTTATTTTGTTATCCCGTTTGAAAATCGCAAATCGATCCTCAAAAGAAAAAAACATAGTATATCCTTTACCGCCAACCATGCTTGATCCACAGATAACTTGAAAGAAAAGTATACCGTTTAATCTTGTCGTTTATTTTCCTTTGACGTAGCAACACTCGCCAGCAGCAGAAATGATTTTTTTGGTAACAATAAAAGAGTTTAAAAAAAAAAAAAATGTACCCTATGTAAATTTTCGTCATGATATTAAGTTCCTCCCTTCAGTCTTTGTAAAAAAAGTGCAAGAAATAATGTTTTGTTGCATGGGCGAGTCTATGTAAAATGAAAATATAATGATCGAAGAAGTAGATTTGGTTGTTGGGTAAAGGAGACTAGTAATAAAAAATAAAAAAAAAACAAAAAAAAACAACAAAAAAAACTATGTATATGCGAGAATCTCGACACGAGAACGGCGAGACGAGCGTTTGTAAATGATCAATATTGTCTATAATTTTTAAGTTTATTTATAAAAGAAAAAAGCGAACGGAAACAGAAGAAATTATGTTGTGTTCAGCAACATGTGCCAGAATTGAGAAATATAATTTTTTTAAACGAAAATTTTGATTTATTTTTCATTTTGTCATCATATAATCCTGCATGAAACCATTCACCCTGCTTATATTATATTCACCAGGATGCTTTTTTCATATTTAATTTCATTATTAATTTTTTTTTTCTTTTTAAACAAAGGAAAAGCTGAAAGAATGGAAACATCGTGCCTTGAATACTGACGAATTACGATATCGATAAATGGTGCATTTGAAATGTCACGTGGGACATATCAACTTGTTGATGAGAAAAAAAAACCATGTAACTTTAAACTGTGTACAAAAATATCAATGAGAGTTGGAAATGGAAACTAAAAAAAAAAGTAAAGGAGAACGATGAAAATCTAGTCAATATTTGAATGTCGTGTCTATGAAAACATATATAATATCTAACTTGAAAAAATACGTAAAATATATATACCACTACCTACTCGAGCTTGTTGTAACTATGTATACGTACTTGAATTAAATTCAAAATGTTCAACATAAGCATACTACGCTGTAAAAAAAAAAAAAAAAACGCACTGAGGGCATGGAAAAAAAAGTTTAACAAATACTTGACAGCTCGAGTGATTACACAGCGGATATTCGATGACTGTGAATAATTTTTCTATGGAGTAAGTTTGTTGAGGAAAAAAAAAAAGATAGATTTCTATATTTTGTAAAGTCCAAAAGTTTACCTTAAAAAAAATTGCAACGCAGTCCCTCCTAAACACATTGCACTGCACTACAAGAGTTAAGAAAACATAAACTAAAAGTACATGTGAAATACTCGTGCATGTATGTCTATGTATTGTATACGGACAAACACGTAAAAAAACTCTACTTACTCCGACGCCACCGATCATCGACAATAAGTAAGTAGAAGAAAAAAAGGAAAGAAATCGCGCTCACATATTATGTATATAACATAAATGCTCGTCAAATCACTTTGAAATTATATGTGTAGCCGGCTTACTAAATTACATAACGTACGCCGCGCTAAACGTACCGAAAAGGCTCTGGTAAGGGTGATTTTTGCAAGAAAAAAAAAAAAAATAAATTCCAAATTCTTCAATTGGCGAAAAATCACGTCAAAGAAGAGACAGTAAAAAGACAGTGCTACTATAAGTCTATTCGTGGAGCCGCGAATAAACAAATAAATAAAAAAAAAAAAAAAAAAAAAGTAGGAGTAAAAAAATTACAGTTAAAAGAGAAGTCGGCACTCGCGATTTTCTAGATCCATATGCATTACATACATTCAAGTATACGTAGATACATGCACGTATACGGTGTTTGCAGGCGTTGTGTATCTGCATGGCCATAAGTGGAATGTATTGTAACAAAAACACGAGAGAGGAGAAACGAAGGATATACCAATATTGTCGAGTTTTCTCTTTTTTACTTTCTGTGTACGACGTTTTTCGTCGATGCTGGTAATTACAAGTGCATAAACTTACCGATTTTCTGTGTTTGCAAACGAACGTAAGACGCATAATTATTGTTTCGAAAGAGCGAATGTAGTATCATCTAAATTGTATGCTTTTTTTCTAAATATTTTTCCTTCAATTACAAAGAAAAAAAAACCAAATGGATCACATTTAACTTGCAATATTGACCGAAATTGCCAAAATGGATGGTTTTGACCGTATATACTTTACCGCAGTCACTTCACTGAGACTTTTGAAAAGAACATACTCTAATATACGTAAATTATGCGTAAACGCGTGAAACGCGCTAAAGATGTATAAAAAAAGAACTAACGAACAATGACGATGTGTATTTAAAAAAAAACTCGTCCAGCCCTATAAATGGCCCCGACGATTGTCCAACATGTTCTGTCCTATACGCCACACAACCAACAAAAAAGAGAAAGAAAAGCATAAATATATTACACTGTAATTCCGAACCGGAAGCAAATACCTATAATTTAAAAAAAGAAAAAAAATGTTGAATAAACGGATACAAAAAAAAACGAGACTCAAGGTGTTCCATTGAGTAGGTAACCCAATGAATAAACTTTGTTCCCGGCTCATTCATCCGCTCTTTTCCTTAATTCGATTTAAAGCCGATGCATCAGACACGGACATTTTCGTTCGGGAAAAGGGAGCCCCTTGACACGAGCGCTTACAGAATTAGCACACTTCTCGCTCGATTTCTCCGTCCCCGTAGTTCAGAGTACGGGGGATCGATGCAGTTTCCGCTGCCGCTGTATATACATACGAATTATAATGGCACTTGGTTGTATTCTTGATTTTTCGAAAATGGTAAGGATCGAGTTTCTTTTCTTTTACTCGGATGAGACGGATCATATTTATTAATTGGCGATTTCCATTGTCGATCGACCATTTTGACGTACCGAATTAGTCCCAAATGGATTTCCGATGTACCAGACTCTCAACAATCGACTATGAAACATTACAGTTTCACGATATCGACAAACCTGTCGCGAAAAAGAAATTTTAATCGATGAAAAATATTGAAACTTTCCTGATAAATATTATACCGTCAGTGACGAATAAACCAGTGGAGGGTCTAAGTTTTAACCAACAGAGCGAAATTCTTCATAGATACGGTAAATCTGAACCAGAGACGTAACATCTTCTTGTTTGACTACAGTTTGGGTCCTCACGATACGTGTGACTATCTCATTAATTTGAAGTTAGAATCTCCAATTTGCGGTAAGCCATGTGGCGCTAAGAAAAAGCAACGAGTCAGTTTACCATCAGTTTACTTTTTTTTACACAAGTTGAAACAATCAGTTAGCGCTTGTTGGGAAAAAAAAGAAAAATCATGACTCACAAAACTCCTCGTTGATCCCACTTAACGTCAAATATCGTCAGGTAAATAAGCTAAAAAGGTAATTAGTCACTATACGGACACGCGGGTGGAATACAATCATCCGAGCGACAAAAAAAAGCATAATTTATGCTTACTCTCCGAATCGGGAAGATCAGCTCAAGAGTGCGGGGCTTAC